TTAATTAAAAACACTTAAGATTTCGCGCTGAAATTGAAAAGTTTTTGCTTTAACGCTTCAGATTGAATAGGATTGCGCGGAAGCCCTTTGAAGTGGTTTTGCCGGAACACTGTGCCGTTCGATCAAGTCTCAAGCGTTATTACATTAAGCAACTTGTCGATCCAGCTGTAATATATATTTCTATTTTCCTCTCGTTGAATTTCCCATGTTACATCGACCGGTATCGGTGTTTAACAGAGGCAGGGAATATTATCCGCGTGCCGTGTTTTATCGAGTTTTTTTTTTTCCCCCTCGCTCGTGTGTGTTTAAACAATTTATCGAAGTCAAAGTTCCCTGATCCGAGGTTAAATGAAATTTTCTTTCGCGTTGAAATAAAATTACACGGACGTAAGCGGTCTGGGACAATCCAATTTTATGAAAATTATCCCCGGGCTATGCCAGATAGTAAAAAGTAATGGTGAAATCCTGCCTCGTAGTAAAAACATTAATATTAAACTTGTATAAATTGAGAAACGTGATTGCGGGAGGAACGTTCAACTTCCTGCTAATACCTCCGAATCCGTTTTATAATATTCTGCGTATAATACAACGTCGTCCCTCCGTGTCTTTGTTAATCTGTAATATTTAGTAATTCTCGAGCGCTTCAAAGGATACTTATACATGTACACTTTCATCCCTCCACTCGTTTATTTCATCAAATTACCGTGGATCACGAAGACAAACAATTCGATTAATCCTCCCCTTAGTTGAAGAAATTAATTAACCCCTTTTTGCTACATAAACTTGCCAAATTCGATTGATCAGACATCAGTTACAATTTTGCATGATTTGTTCCACTATCCAAATATTACAACAAGTAATTTATTACTTCTTATCTTGTATGCAGAAATCAACTTCTATACTATCTCCTCTTATACAAACAAATAAGAGTGGGATATATAGAAAGCTAGTGAACCTTCATTCTAAACATATCTGTTATCATTAGATCCAAAAATTCTAAGCTTTTACAGTTACCAATAATACGTTGAACAAGAGAACAAGCTTGCGTGCTTCTTTTCTAAAAATATAAATTTATGGTATATTTAATTGATTAAGGTATAAAATCAGAATGATTAAAATTAACCAATAATTAAAATTACAATACAGAATACCTTGTCTTTGTTACCAGTATTGACCTGTGCCATTATTCTTAATTTCAAACTTTCATGTGTTCTACATTTAAACCAAGCAGCATTTAACGCTGATGCAATTTTTTCAGTATCAGTATTATTGTTTCCGTTTGAAGCACCTCATAGTTTATTTACTTTACTACATTGAAGATGGCCAATAAAATGCCAATATGTATCTGTGCATGTTTCCAAAATACTTGGATGATACCCCTTTTCTATTAATTCATTGACGTTGGATAAATTAAATAGTTTTTATAAGTGACCAATAAATCAAATTTGATTGATTGAAACAAAATCGACGTTGTCACGTTCACTTTTGGAAGGCTAATCGGAACGAAGATCAGTTGTCTCGTGAAATTCCTGAAACGAGAGCTCTTGTAAAACGCAGATCGAGAAGTTGCGCATGGGCGAAAGAATAGATTTTGAATGGAATCGTATCAATCTTGGCAGTGTTGTTAAACGATGACGGAATTGTTAATGCGATACCTGGCGCCAGCTGGAAAATTACACATTCCGTGAAAATAATTCGCGCACGTTTCTTCGGGCGGTTCGCGACCACGCGATGAACATCTCATTCGCGCTTTTTTTGTCGTAATTAGTGGGTCAGACGTGTCTTTGTCGCGATTAAACGGTCATTTCCTCGCGAACCTCGACGTGAGGTCGAAACAAAACGGAACAGTCTACAGCGCCATATTTCATATCTTTCTTTCTTCCTTTTCTGCAATTCGTCACTGTAGACAAATTGTTACAACCAGACTGCGGATTTTTTGTGGGTTTACAGAGAGAAATTTAAGAATATAAATATGTAAGTACATATATGAAATATTGGAAGAAACAAATTTCTGCTTAACTTTCATTTCTTCGACTGAAGAAATCAAAACAGATTATATATGTTTATTAAGACAATATCTTCACTGATGAGATTATCAAGATTATCCGAATTATTTCGTGGCGTTTAATTCTTTGAGGTCATGAAATTTTTCTGAAGTTTGTCACTTTATTGTATCGCAGAGACGGTTAAGCTTTTCCCTGTATCTTTATTTATTTATCACAAAGACGACGTTTATAGATCGTCGTTCGAATATTTTTAATGAAGTTCGAAGCTTTCAGCCGTTCAAATGACTCCTCGGAAAGAAAAGAGATGTTTTTCACGAAACGCGTGTTGACGTGATTTATCACGCAGCACGAGATGGATATTGGAAATGGCAGTGCCGTACTATTGTCTTAAACGGCGAAACACGTAAAGTATTTTCCTCAACGCGTGCCAATTGCACGCGATATGGAAGACAGGAACATCTTTCAAAAGCTGTTCCATGAAATGAAGTATCCATTCCTTTGTCAGAAATTTAAATATCCAGTGAAATATCGAGAGTAGCTCGCGAGTCGATAACTTTCACACCGTCTGAAAAGAAATTTCACAGCTTTAATTAACAGAGATTCAGTGACCTGATTGAAAAATGACAGATTCAATTAACATATTCTCCTTTATCAAGTAGGTATGATTCTCATTTATCAAGGTAGGCTTGATCATCTTGAGAAGTTCCGTTGTTTTTTAAAATATTATTAATGGGTTCAAGGTCATTTTATAGTTTTCTTCTACTTTTTAAAATAGGACATATTTGTTGCTCCATTGTTCGATATTTTCTACAAAAAATATTTTCTATAAATCTATATATATAAGAAAATTATTAATTTGGGACATTTTTAAATCCATCAAAATTCTGTAAAATTGTATAAAAAGCGAGCAGAGACGCAGGCATACATTTACCTTACATAAGAAAATACTTATAAAATTAATAATTTTTCGACATAGATAGGTTAATAATTTTTTTTTTAATGGAGAATGTTGATTATGTAATGAAACAAAAAATACACATTTTAAAAACTGGAAGGAAACTATGATCCATTTCTGTTAACAAAGTTTTCCCATATTCCCTCAAAATTCGGATTTATTCAAGATGATCCATTTCACTTGATTCACTTTGTCTCGACTATTATTAGATAAACGTAATGATAATAGAAATCAAAAGAATAGCAGTCCGACTGATTCATCTTGCAACTAACTTCTTATTACATTATAGTAAAAAAAAAAAAAAAAAAAAAAAAAATTGAAGTCTGGACTTTCTCTGAATAGTGTTTCATTCAGGTTGGTTGCTCGTTTCCTTTCCTTTCGGTCGTACAATGGATCTTGGTCAAGTTATGTATGCGAGAGAAATATTCTTTAAATCCAAAGGCTATCTCTTTCTTCTAATTTCACCGGGACGTATAACGAGCATCCAGAACTCGCAATATATCCCGGCGAGTCTTTCAGAAAAGGCATCCACTTGAGATACGAGAGCCGGGTAACTGTGCTTCTCCCTTTGGAGAGATCTCATCGATCTTTCGCTTCCTTCAAGCCCTGCCCGCTTGCTTTACCATTCATTTCCGTTTTTCGTAATTCCCTCGTTGTGGTTTCTGCCCTTTAGACAGCGCGTTATTTATTCGAGAACCGGGATACCACCCGGTATACATCGTTGTACACCGGCCCGGCCTCGCAGATTATTTGCACTAATTTAAAGGAGCGCATCGTAGATACGCGTACGGTATAATTACCGCTGCATCTCGTTTGGAATTCCACGTTAAACGTTTTCGATTTCGAAATAAATTCGCAGACACTGAACGCGTCGCGAAGTGTTATCCTCGTGTTTCGAATTTCGTGGATTATTCAGATTTTCGTATGCACATTTCTAGGCAACGTTTTTGGTTTCTTGAATAAACCTTGTTCGCATGATATTTCATATTTCACACGTCACGCTGTCGAATCATGATTCGTTCTGATCTATTAGCTCCCTCTGTTTCTTCGGAAGCCTGGCCATTTCCAAAGTTTGCTAACGAAATATTGTTCGAGGTGTATTTTTATGTCATTCATTCAGCCAAACCTTTTAGCTCGAGGATTTTATTCTCTTCTTTTTTTAATGAAAGGAATAAATAGTGATCAGATGGGATAGCATCTGGGAAACATGTCCATGACTGAACAAATGATATGAACCTCGAACAATATTTTGCTCGACTAGCAAATCCCAGAAAATTTTGAAAATGGCATTGTGAAGTTTTTGGAGGAAAGCTAATACATCAGAATGGATCATAAAATGCAAAACATTGTGCATACATTATTCGTTAAGAAAAGAAATTTACCTTTTGAGGCAATCTAATATTTAAGGACTACGTTTGACTTAGATTTTACGTTCAAATATATATTTGTGAGTTTTCAATATTTAAGTTAAATATGAATTTTCTGCATGAGTATTGATACAAATAGTTCATAAAATAGTTCATGGAAATGTAAAACTCCGATTCTGGAAAGTATCAACCGGTGCAAATATCAAACGACATATTTACCATCCGTAGTCACGTCCCGTGGCGATTTCACTTTCAATTTCTCGCGTTGAAAGCGTGGATACACGCTACGACAAGGCTATATATTTTGTACGTTACAAAATTCGAAAGTCGAAAGAGTCGACGAACCGTAGTCACCGATGTACAATAGCAACATTCATGATTTCACTTTCAATTTCTCGTCGGTCCCTCGTTAATCCCGCTGTTCGAAACGCAGTAAAAACAACGGACAACAATAAAGTATACAGTTTACGCTGCACATTTAGCCTCGATGCACTTGTTCGTAGAAAAAGGAAAAAAACGTGTCGAGTGTCAAATGAACTTACGATCGTGACGATTTCAATTTTTGAATGATCTCTCGTCCATCCCTCGCAGTATAAATAAACTGTAATAAATAAAACGGTAAACTGTAAACTGTATAATTTACGCTTTGCACCTAACGTGGTTTAAAATTGTACTTCATATCAGTAAACAGCGTCAAATAAATTTACGAGCTGTAGCGACAGTCGTGATAATTTCGCTTTCAATTTCTCGTCGAAACGTAATGAAAATCCGAGTATACGCAATGTAGTACAGATATTGTGCATAACCTGGCATCGTTGCAAAAATAACGTCATATTTTGTATCAGCAACACATATTTTGTACAGTTATAAATAACATTTAATAACCAGCAGTGTTGACAATTTCTCGTCGAAGCCAACAACGAACGTGACGCGGCTGCGGAATTAGGCTCGCAACGTCTCGAAAACGTTAATGTTCTCCTCCCTTTGACAGATCCCAACTGGCAACAATTGCCGGCCAGACAAGGCCCGAGGGTGCTCGCGCGAAATGTTGAAAATTTGTTCGACCAGCGACGAAAGCTACGCGCGAGCTAGCTTCGATCGTCGTTGTCTGTCAAAAGTTGAAAAACGTCGGCTAATTGCCGAACCGAAGTCCGGTTCAAACTCGATGAGCGATTCTCTTTTTCTCTCCCTCTTGCCAAACACCGTTTCTTCTTCCTCGTTTATCACGGCCACGGAGCAGCTTTTATTTTCGTTGCTGACAGGGCGCAAAGGAATTTTTCAATTAGTTTTACAAACACGTTGCGGCGCGGGGGCGAACAGGGCAACGTGACCGAGCCAACCAAGTCCGTGGGATCGTGAAAAATGAGCTCCTTGGACCGCGTTATTATAGCGTCATTCCGGGGGTGGTCCTTCACCCGGACCCTGGATAATGTTTAGCGAAATGTAAACAACTCGGAGATAATTGAAGGAGTTTAAACGAAGTTCTCGCGAAAGCCAGGGGAAGAGGAGATTCGCCCGAGCGGCAGAACTCGTTAAACGTTTCGCTAAATTTAAGCAGCGATAACATTTTGCTTGACCGTGCCAGTTTCACCCGGGCCCGGCATCTTCGAGCCAGCTCTTGTTCGACCTACTGTTCCGTCGATATTCTCTCTTCTTTGTGTATTTCTTTCTGTCACTGTCTCCTTTCGTCGAATTTGAATTTTGCACAGCAGTAAGTAGCAAGTTTACTTCAGGAAGGTTTGAACATTTGACGTTAACGTTGTAGAACTGATAGAACAGAAATGAATATTCGCGAAATAACGAACGAAATAAATTCCAAGTCCTTTTGAAAATTTCAATTCACATCTTTTGCGCGAAAGAATGTTCTAATTGAAATTTAAACAGTCTGTCAAATTCGGTAATTGTTCGATTACCAAGATGGTCAAAATGTTGGTTAGATGTGACGGTCATAATTTTTGTTAGATATTTCTATACATAGTATATTTTTATAGATTCAATTGATTTCTTCTTCTAAAATTTCTTTTACAAATAAAACCTCGTGTACTCTACTTTAA